TGGGGGGGATTTGGGGGGTCCTGGGGGGGATTTGGGGAGTTTCGGGGGAGTTTTGGGGGAGGATTTGGGGGTCTTGGGAGGGATTTGGGGTTCTTGGAGGGGATTTGGGGAGTTTTGGGATGGATTTGGGGGGTCCTGAAGGGGATCTGGGGGATCCTGTGGAGGATTTGGGGAGTCCTGAAGGGGATTTGGGGAGTCCTGAAGGGGATTTGGGGGGTTCTGGGGGGGATTTGGGGGTCTTGGGGAGGTTTAGGTGGGGGGATCCTGCAGAATTTGGGTCTTACCAAGGCTCACCTGGGAGGGGTCCTGGGTGTCCTGTTTGGGGTTCAATCCCCCCCAAATTCTCCCCAAATCCCATCAAATCCCCCTAAAATCCCCCCCAATGCCCCCGAAATCCCCCCCAAATCCCATCAAATCCCCCTAAAATCCCCCCCAATGCCCCCGAAATCCCCCCCAAATCCCATCAAATCCCCCTAAAATCCCCCCCAATGCCCCCGAAATCCCCCCCAAATCCCATCAAATCCCCCTAAAATCCCCCCCAATGCCCCCGAAATCCCCCCCAAATCCCATCAAATCCCCCTAAATCCTCCCCAAATCCCCCCAAATCCCCCCCAGGTCGCGGGGCCGAGGCCGGCGGGTGCAGGAGGATGAGGAGGGGGCCGGGGGGGACCCCGAAAACGCCGCCAGCCCCCCCGAGGGGACCCCCCAGGCCCCGCTGCCCTCGGACGACACCCGCACGGAAAACATGGATATCAGCAGTGACGGTGAGATCCCGGGATTCGATGGGATGAGGGGGGGTTGTGGGATTTCGGGGGGTTTGGGAGGGATTTGATGGGATTTGGGGAGGATTTTATGGGATGAGGGGGATTTGATGGGATTTGGGGGGGTTTGGGAGTGATTTGATGGGATTTGGGGGGGTTTGAGAAGGATTTGATGGGATTTGGGGGGGATTTTATGGGATTTTGGAGGGATTTGATGGGATTTGGGGGCGTTTGAGAAGGATTTGATGGGATTTGGGGGGATTTGATGGGATTTCGGGCAGATTAGATGGGATTTGGGAAGGATTTTATGGGATGAGGGGGATTTGATGGGATTTCGGGGGGATTTGATGGGATTTCGGGGGGTTTTGATGGGGTTTGGGAGGGATTTTATGGGATTTGGGGGGTTTTGGGAGGGATTTGGGGGGGTTTGGGAGGGATTTGATGGGATTTGAGAAGGATTTGAGAAGGATTTGATGGGATTTCGGGGGGATTTGATGGGATTTCGGGGGGTTTTGATGGGGTTTGGGAGGGATTTTATGGGATTTGGGAAGGATTTTATGGGATGAGGGGGATTTGATGGGATTTCGGGGGGTTTTGATGGGGTTTGGGAGGGATTTTATGGGATTTGGGAAGGATTTTATGGGATCTGGGGGGGATTTGATGGGATTTGGGGGCGTTTGGGAAGGATTTTATGGCATTTGGGGGAATTTGATGGGATTTAGGGCGGATTTGATGGGATTTGGGAAGGATTTGATGGGATTTTGGGGGGATTTGATGGGATTTGGGGGCGTTTGGGAAGGATTTTATGGCATTTGGGGGAATTTGATGGGATTTAGGGCGGATTTGATGGGATTTGGGAAGGATTTTATGGGATCTGGGGGGGATTTGATGGGATTTGGGGGCGTTTGGGAAGGATTTTATGGCATTTGGGGGAATTTGATGGGATTTAGGGCGGATTTGATGGGATTTGGGAAGGATTTTATGGGATCTGGGGGGGATTTGATGGGATTTGGGGGAGTTTTAGGGCATTTTGGGCAAGTTTAGGAAGTCTGAGGGAGTTTTTTGGTGGATTTAGGAGGCTTGGGGGAGTTTTAGGGTGACTGAGAAGGATTTTTGGGACATCTTTATGGGATTTTAGAGTTCCCCCAACCCCAATTTTCCCCCCAGAGGAGCCGGGACCCCCCCGGCCCTGGAGGAGAACAAGGCAGAGAAAGGATTTGGGGATTTGGAGGAGTTCAGAGCGATTTGGGGGTGGCTTTAGGGGTTTTGGGGGGATTTTTGGGGGGATTTTTGGGGATTTTGGGGTTCCCCTGACCCCGATGTGCCCCCCAGAGGAGGCAGCGGCCCCCGGGACCCCCCCGGCCCTGGAGGAAGATGAGGCAGAGCAGGAGCTGCAGCAGCAGCTGGAGCGGGGCCGGCGCCTGCGGCAGCTGCGGGAGCTGCGCGAGGGAGGGGGAGAGAAGGTGAAAAACACCCCAAAAACACCCTGAAACCACCCCAAAACTACCCCAGAACCACCCCAAAAAACACCCCAAAAACGCCCTGAAACCACCCCAAAACCACCCTGAAAATCACCCCAAAAACGCCCTAAAAACATCCTCAAAAACTACCCCAAAACCACCCCAAAAACTACCCCAGAAGCACCCCAAAACCACCTCAAAACTGCTCCAAAAACTACCCAAAAACTACCCCCAAAACCACCCCAAAAACCCTTCAAAAACCCCCCCAAAAACACTTCAAAAACCACCCCAAAAAACACCCCAAAACCACCCCGAAAATCATCCCAAAAACTCCCCAGAACCACCTCAAAAACACCCCAAAAACACCCAAAAACCACCTCAAAAACCACCCCAAAACCCCCTCTGGGCAGTGCCCCCAAATCCTCCCTGCAGGACCCCAAAATCCCCCAAAATCCCCCAAAACTTCCACTGCAGGACCCCAAAATTCTTCATAACACCCCCACATCCCCCCAACTCTGCCCTCCACTACCCCAAAACCC